CTCTGGGGGGCCGGTCCTGGCTCGCTTCTCCACTGTCCTCCCGTGTCCGGCGGCCCCCTCTGGCACCCTGACTGGTCTCTACCTCCCCTCGTTCTCGACGAACTTGGTGAGTGGTGCTGACCTCCAGGATGCGGGTGTCCACCAGTTCACCCCTGCTCGTCAGCGGGTGACCCACTGCACGGAGGAGGATACAGGTCGCCACCTGGCTACGTTTACACGTCGGCCAGGGTCGAGCCTGTACACACTGACCACTGCTTCTCCTCCAGGTGCTGAGTCTGCTAGGGTCCCTTCGTCTGGTCAGGTGTTTGCTGCAGCGTCCAGGTCTGGTCCTGAGTCTGCCCCCTGCTCGTGTCGTCGTCTGTCTCACGAGACCCTCCTCTGGCACCACCGCCTTGGCCACCCCTCTCTGCTTCGGCTCAGAGGCATGGCCTCGCGAGTCCTTGTGTCTGGTCTTCCCCGGTCTCTCCCTCCCCTTCCTCCGGGCCCTGGCCCCACCTGTGTCCCCTGTGTCGAGGGGCGCCAGCGTGCTGCCCCTCACTCCTCCCAGTTTCCTCCCACAGAGGCCCCGTTGCAGACGCTTCACATGGACGTGTGGGGCCCAGCCCGCGTCCGTGGACAGGGTCAGGAGCGCTACTTCCTGCTGGTGGTTGACGACTACTCGCGTTACACCACAGTCTTCCCCTTGCGTAGCAAGGGTGAGGTCACTGAGGTGCTGATCGACTGGATCCGCGCAGCTCGTCTCCAGCTTCGGAGGAGCTTTGGCTCTGACTTCCCTGTTTTGCGTCTGCACTCGGACAGAGGTGGAGAGTTCTCCTCCGGCCTCCTGAGTGCCTACTGTCGTGTGCGAGGCATCCGTCAGATCTTCACGCTTCCGGACTCACCGCAGCAAAATGGGATTGCTGAGCGCCGCATTGGCATGGTCATGGACGTCGCTCGTACGTCCATGATGCATGCGGCTGCTCCCCATTTTCTGTGGCCGTTTGCGGTCAGGTACGCTGCGCACCAGATCAACCTCCACCCCAGGGTCTCTCGACCGGAGACCTCCCCAGCCCTGCTGTGGACGGGGAAGGTTGGCGATGCGTCGGCGTTCCGGGTCTGGGGATCTCGGGCGTTTGTTCGCGACCTGTCTGCGGACAAGCTGTCCCCTCGTGCTTCTCCCTGCGTCTTCCTGGGGTTCCCCCCCGACGCCCCTGGGTGGCAGTTTTACCACCCCACCTCTCGACGTGTTCTGTCCTCCCAGGACGTCACGTTCGACGAGTCGGTGCCCTACTACCGCCTCTTCCCCTACCGCACTCCGTCCCTCCCCCCACCCCCGCTCTTCTTGGTACCAGGTCCCCCCCCGGTAGTCCCCCTCCCCCCTCAGGGTCCTGCCCCTTCAGGTGTGTCCCAGGTAGACGCGGTCGAGCCTGTCGAGGTCACTGGTGACTCTGGTGCTGCTGCGGGAGCTGAGCCTGGGGGTGCGGAGTCTGGGGGTGCTGAGCCTGGAGGTGCCGAGTCTGGGGGTACTGTGCCTGGGGGTGCTGGGCCTGGGGGTGCTGAGCCTGGGGGTGCCGTGCCTGGAGGTGCTGTGTCTAGGGGTGCTGAGCCCGGGGGTGCTGTGCCTGGGGGTGCTTCGTCTCGCCGGGAGCCACTCTCCCCACATGAGCTGCGTGAGTGGTTTGCCGGGCGCTGGAGGCGTGCTGCTGGTGCTGGTGGTTCTTCGGCTGCAGAGGGCACTGCTGCTGCGCGCCCCGCCGGTGCTCGTACTGTGGGTGCTGGAGCTGCTGAGTCTGAGAGTTCTCCTGGAGCTGGTCCTGCTGAGGGTGTTGGCGCTGAGCCTGCCGTTGGCGGCCCGACTGACAGTGCTCCTGGTGCTGCGGCTGGAGGTTCTGGAGCTGCTGGAGGTGCTGCTGGAGTGGGTGCTCCTGCCGGGGCTGCTGGTGCTGTTCCTGCTGTTTCTAGCGTCGCCGCGCGGCCCCGACCATACTTCGTTCCGCTCCTGCAGCAGGTTCTTGGTCTTACACCTCCTCCTCCTCCCTTAGAGGGTCCGCAGCCTGTCCGGTCACAGCCACAGCTACAGCCTGCCTCCCCTTTGCCTGCTCCTTCTCCCTACGCTGGTCCGACTGGAGGTCTTACTGAGCGTCGTGAGCCTGCGTCTCGTCCTGTGTCGCCTGTTCGTACTGAGCGCGCTAGTGGTCGCGGGTCGCGTCAGCGTCCTCCTCCTGTCCCTGGCACACACCGGATGTCACTGCGTCCGTCCACTGCTCCTTTGCGTGCCCCTTTGCCTTCTCCTCCTGCTTCCTCTCTTCCTGCTCTTGCCGACCCGGAGTCGGACGCTCTTCGTGCTGCCAGTCCTACTGTCACGCGTCTCCTGGCTACTGCTGTCACTGACCCTTCCTTCGAGTCGTCTGCTGCGTCTGCCCTTGTCACTGAGCTTGTCGACTTTGCTGCGCGCTGTCGTCTAGACTACGCTGCTCGTCTTGTCACTGAGTCTGAGTCCGCCTGTCCTCCGTCCGTCGGGGGTGAGTGTGCCCTTGGCACGGACGTCCTTGAGGACAGGCAGGAGGAGTTCCAGTGTCTGGCCGCCGCTTCACCTCGTCTCGCGTCTGTACTGCTAGCCCCTGAGGGAGACCCGGATGCACCAGACATCCCGACTCCGCGCTCTTACGCGGAGGCGATAGAGGGTCCCTACTCCTCTCAGTGGCAGGCAGCTATGGATGCAGAGATGGCTTCCTGGAAGTCCACAGGCACCTACGTTGACGCTGTTCCCCCTCCTGGGGCAAACATCGTCAGTGGCATGTGGATTTTCAGGGTGAAGCGGCCGCCGGGTTCTCCGCCTGTCTTCAAGGCGCGTTACGTGGCTCGTGGCTTCAGTCAGCGGCAGGGGGTTGACTACTTTCAGACCTTCTCCCCCACCCCGAAGATGACCACTCTTCGGGTTCTGCTACACGTTGCTGCTCACCGTGACTACGAGTTGCACTCTCTCGACTTCAGCACAGCTTTCTTGCAGGGCAGTCTGCACGAGGAGATCTGGCTGCGTCGCCCACCTGGCTTCACTGGGTCTTTCCCTCCTGGTACCCAGTGGAGTCTCCGGCGTCCAGTCTACGGTCTCCGCCAGGCGCCACGTGAGTGGCACGACACACTGAGGACTACGCTCGCGGCACTTGGGTTTGCTCCTTCCACTGCCGACCCGTCGCTGTTTCTGCGCACCGACACCTCTCTGCCGCCGTTCTACATCCTCGTGTACGTCGACGACTTGGTCTTTGCCACAGCTGACACTGCTGGACTCGCCTACGTGAAGTCCGAGCTGCAGAAGAGACACACGTGCACTGACCTGGGTGAACTGCGCAGCTACCTTGGCTTGCAGATCACCCGGGACAGAGCACGCCGCACCATTACCCTGACTCAGTCACACATGGTGCAGCAGGTCCTTCAGCGCTTCGGCTTCACGTACTCCTCGCCTCAGGCCACTCCTCTGCCTACTCGCCACTCGCTCTCAACTCTGCCTTCGGATGAGTCCGTAGAGTCGAGTGGTCCGTATGCAGAGCTTGTTGGCTGCCTCATGTACCTGATGACCTGCACACGACCTGACCTCGCATACCCTCTTAGCATTCTCGCACGCTTTGTTGCTCCTGGGAGACACCGACCAGAGCACATGGCTGCAGCGAAGAGGGTGTTGCGCTACTTGTGCAGTACGTCGGGCATGGGGCTAGTGCTTGGAGGGCGCAGTCCAGTGGTCCTCACTGGGCACGCAGACGCTTCTTGGGCTGACGACCAGGCTACGCAGCGGTCGTCACAGGGTTACACCTTCAGCCTTGGTTCCGGCTCTGTCTCGTGGCGGGCTACCCGCTCGTCTTCTGTTCTCGGCTCCAGTTGTGAGGCTGAGATCTACGCTGGGGCTATGGCTGCACGGGAGTTACGCTGGCTCACCTACCTGCTGACCGACCTTGGAGAGCAGCCTCGTTCTCCTCCAGTCCTGTACGTAGACAACAAGGCCATGCTGGCCTTGTGTCGAGAGCAGCGACTGGAGCACAGAACGAAGCACATTGCTCTTCGCTACTTTCTTGCTCGTGAGCTACAGCAGCGTGGACAGCTGCGACTTGCGTACGTGGCCTCTGAGGCCAACACTGCTGATGTCTTCACCAAGGCACTTGCGCCTTGTGATCATCAGCGTTGCTGCACGCAGTTGGGTCTTGTGCCTGTCTTGCCTCACTTGCTCTCCTCTTGACCTTGCTTGTACTTTCGCATATATATACTCTTGCTCTTGTATATCTCTGTATATGATCTTGCATGTGAACTGGCCTTTTGGCCTTTGAACTTGTGCTCGGAATGCGTGGTGACTTTGTGATCCACCCTGAGCTTTGCTTCGCTTTGCTTGACCGGTCTTGTGACCCCTTGTTCTCCCCCACTTTGCCTATGGGGGTGTGTCAGAACTTATAGCTTACTTGTTTCTGTAGGCTATAGTGGGGTATCCCATAGGGGGTACAACCCAATTAGGGTTTCCTATTTGTACTCACTTCATTCATAGTCATTTCCCTTCTCGTTCGTACTTTCTCATTCAGTGCCTAATATCCGCGACGTCGCGCTCTCATTATCTTACCGTCGGTCCGCATAGACGGCCGCGCATAGTTGCACGTATCGATGTGCATCTCACTGTCTTACCCTCAGCCGTGACAGTACCGTGAGAGCTCCATAATCTCACTCACCACCGCCTCCATTCATGGCAACTCGCGGCGCCGCTCACGCCATCCACCACCCCATCGTTAGCGTGCCGCGTCGACCCTTCATGAGTGTAGCCGTTCCGGAATCGTGCTACTTGGCGACCCGTATCGTGACCGCGACCGAATCGCTCAAGGGTACGTCTCTTCATCGAGTTCCTTGGTCGTTTAAGCGATACATATCCTGATATAAAACGGTCCATTATAAACGTAGTAAGTACCGATCCCCTCTTCCGCTACAATTAGTCCCTGCAGTTCCGGATTTCTAACGTCCTATCATCTTTCCCGGGGCTATTGCGCAACATGTCGACTAAACTGCAGGTCTCGAAGGCGGTGACCAAGAAAAACACAGCCACGGGTGGCCCCGTGCAAAGTCCAGGCAAGGTGCAGAATGGTACGAAGAAGAAGAGCACGGAGGCTGCACCCAAACCCCGGACATCTAGCGGTGACGGCCCTCCTGGTGGCGAGGTTCGCAAGTCCAGCCGCCCTCGAAAGGCGAAAGTGTGGTTTGAGGAAGGGGCGGATGCTACCGAAGAAGGTGCTGATCCTGTTAAGTATGTCGGGAACAACCTTGATGGCGAGGATGTGGACAACCAGAAACACGAGGACGAAGCTGAGGCCAACGGCAAGTCGGGTGACGTGGGCGAAAACGAGGTGGACGAGGCAGTAGACGAGGCCGGCGACGAGCCGGAAGAGGAAGACTTGGCGGAGGACGATGCTGAAGAGAAGGCGGATGAAGAGGAGGGTGACGAGGCGGAGGAAGAGGAGGGTGACGAGGCGGAGGAAGAGGAGGGTGACGAGGCGGAGGAAGAGGAGGGTGACGAGGCGGAGGAAGAGGAGGATGATGAGGCGGAGGAAGAGGAGGACGACGAGGTGGAGGAAGAGGAGGACGAGGAGTCTGAGGAAGGGCAGGGGGATGAGGACGAGGCTGAGAAGGGAAGTGAGAAAGGCGATTCGGCGGAAGTGGGGGAAGGTGCGGATGCGCACAAGCCTCAAATCACAAGGAAGGCTAGCTTTGACGAGATGCTGGAAGAGCAGGGTGACGCTGATGACGAAGACATGGAGGATGAGGCTGCGGCTGAGGAACGTGCTATGCTGCTTGGGAAGCTGAAGGCACTCGATGAGATCAAGGAACCCGTTGTCAGCTCGAAGCCTGCTAGAAAGGGTGTGAAACGTCTTCCGCGTTCAGAACCCTCTAAGGTTCCTGCTAAGCCACCGCGAGGGAAAGATGCATTCACATCGGCTAAGGGAAAGGATAAAGTTCTGGCGACCGAGAGTATTCTCGGTGGGAAGTCGAAACGGGAGTTCGCCTTGGTGGTTGGCGGTGCGCAGAAAAAGCAGAACACCGGTGAAGTGTCGGCCAAACCGAAGTCAACTCCTACGGCAGCAGGTGCTGGGACCAGCGGGGGAAAGGCCAAGGCAGGCGCTGGGGCAAGCGGGGTAAAGGCCAAGGCAGGCGCTGGGGCAAGCGGGGTAAAGGCCAAGGCAGGCGCTGGGACCAGCGGGGTAAAGGCCAAGGCAGGCGCTGGGACCAGCGGCGTAAAGGCCAAGGCAGGCGCTGGGGCTAAACCGACCTCTAAGGAGGCCAACACAAAAACCAAAGGTCAGACTTTTGCCGCATTGTATAGCACTGCGGGATGGTACCACTTTTTATTCGTGGCATGCTTGCTGATGTCACGTCGCTTTCCATCCTTCCCTGCCGTCGCTTTCCTCCCATCCATGCCGTCACCGTCATCCCATCCCTGCCGTCACCTTCATCCCATCCCTGCCGTCCCCTTCATCCCATCCCTGCCGTCACCTTCATCCCATCCCTGCCGTCACCTTCATCCCATCCCTGCCATCACATTCATCCCATCCCTGCCGTCCCCATCATCCCATCCCTGCCGTCCCCTTCAACCCATCCCTGCCGTCACCTCTGACCCGTCTCTCAGTCACCTTTCCTCCATCTCTTCCGTCCCGTATACAATCAACAGCTCCCAATCAGTACTCTGGAGCTGCACCACCGGTGAAGGTGATCTCTGAAGCCACCAAGCGCTATGAACTCGTCCCTGTCAAGAAAACCTTGTTTGTGGCGGCATCCTGTGATCGCCGCCAGGAGCATGGTGGTGTATCAAACGTGGAGCTTGACCAATTCGAGCGACGCGTGATGGCAAGGTTCGTCGAGATGCTGTCGGCCATACTTCGGGGTGCTGGTCCATCCGTCCCAATCGGAGCGCCTGCAGCAACTCCTCCTCATTCTGGCCCGAGCACCAGCTCGTCGGAAGGCCTTCCCTCCAGCAATAGTCCCCTGGCAAACCATCGCGAAATCGTGTACAAAGCGGTAGTCGACTTCAAGGTGCGTTCCCTGTGATACACTGTGTGTGCGTTTCCTAGATTGTTGCTCGACCTGTCTGCCCCCTCTCCCCTCAATCATAAGCCCCATTTGCTTCCCCTGCTTGGAACAAGAGAGTTGAAGCTTTTCCTTAACACTGACACATTCTGTGCCATCCAGGCACCTCCTAACCACAACATTAAACCCCGCTTGCTTCCCCACCCAGGCCTAGGGAGGTGAGGCTTTATGTAAACCCCAACTCCCCTCTGCTTGCCTGCCCACTCTCCCCTCAACCCCAAACCCCGCTTGCTTCCCCATACAGGCATAGGGTGGTCAGGCTTTACCAAAACCCCAACTCCCCTCTGCTTGCCTGCCCACTCTCCCCTCAATCCGAAACCACACCTGCTACCCTAAATACAGGCCTAGGGAGGTGAGGCTTTATCTAAACCCCAACTCCCCTCTGCTTGCCTGCCCACTCTCCCCTCAAACCCAAACCCCGCTTGCTTCCCCATCCAGGCATAGGGAGGTGAGGCTTTACCTAAACCCCAACTCCCCTCTACCTGCCTGCCCACTCTGCCCTCAACCCGAAACCCCACCTGCTACCCTAAATCCAGGCCTAGGGAGGTGAGGCTTTATCTAAACCCCAACTCCCCTATGCTTGCCTGCCCACTCTGCCCTCAACTCTAAACCCCACTTGCTTCCCATCCAGGTTTAGGGAGGTGATGCTTTACCTAAACCCCAACTCCCCTCTGCTTGCCTGCCCACTCTCCCCTCAACCCCAAACCCCACTTGCTTCCCCATCCAAGCCTAGGGGGGTGAGGCTTTACCTTAACCCCAACTCCCCTCTACCTGCCTGCCCACTCTCCCCTCAACCCTAAACCCCACTTGCTTCCCATCAAGGTTTAAGGAGGTGAGGCTTTATCTAAACCCCAAATCCCCTCTGCTTGCCTGCCCACTCTCCCCTCAACCCGAAACCCCACTTGCTTCCCATCCAGGTTTAGGGAGGTGATGCTTTACCTAAACCCCAACTCCCCTCTGCTTGCCTGCCCACTCTCCCCTCAACCCCAAACCCCACTTGCTTCCCCTTCCAGGCATAGGGAGGTGAGGCTTTACCTAAACCCCAACTCCCCTCTGCTTGCCTGCCCACTCTCCCCTCAACCCCAAACCCCACTTGCTTCCCCTTCCAGGCATAGGGAGGTGAGGCTTTACCTAAACCCCAACTCCCCTCTGCTTGCCTGCCCACTCTCCCCTCAACCCCAAACCCCGCTTGCTTCCCCATCCAGGCATAGGGAGGTGAGGCTTTACCTAAACCCCAACTCCCCTCTACCTGCCTGCCCACTCTGCCCTCAACCCGAAACCCCACCTGCTACCCTAAATCCAGGCCTAGGGAGGTGAGGCTTTATCTAAACCCCAACTCCCCTATGCTTGCCTGCCCACTCTCCCCTCAACCCTAAACCCCACTTGCTTCCCATCCAGGTCTAGGGAGGTGATGCTTTACCTAAACCCCAACTCCCCTCTGCTTGCGTGCCCACTCTCCCCTCAACCCCAAACCCCACTTGCTTCCCCATCCAAGCCTAGGGGGGTGAGGCTTTACCTTAACCCCAACTCCCCTCTACCTGCCTGCCCACTCTCCCCTCAACCCTAAACCCCACCTGCTACCCTAAATACAGGCCTAGGGAGGTGAGGCTTTATCTAAACCCCAACTCCCCTCTTGCTTGCCTGCCCACTCTCCCCTCAACCCGAAACCCCACCTGCTACCCTAAATACAGGCCTAGGGAGATGAGGCTCTATCTAAACCCCAACTCCCCTCTGCTTGCCTGCCCACTCTCCCCTCAACCCCAAACCCCGCTTGCTTCCCCATCCAGGCTTAGGGAGGTGAGGCTTTACCTAAACCCCAACTCCCCTTTGCTTGCCTCCCCACTCTCCCCTCAACCCCAAACCCCCCTTGCTTCCCCATCCAGGCATAGGGAGGTGAGGCTTTACCTTAACCCCAACTCCCCTCTTGCTTGCCTGCCCACTCTCCCCTCAACCCGAAACCCCACCTGCTACCCTAAATACAGGCCTAGGGAGGTGAGGCTTTATCTAAACCCCAACTCCCCTCTTGCTTGCCTGCCCACTCTCCCCTCAACCCGAAACCCCACCTGCTACCCTAAATACAGGCCTAGGGAGGTGAGGCTTTATCTAAACCCCAACTCCCCTCTGCTTGCCTGCCCACTCTCCCCTCAACCCGAAACCCCACTTGCTTCCCATCCAGGTTTAGGGAGGTGAGGCTTTACCTAAACTATGACTTATGCTCTGTCTGCCCCCTCGACCATCAACCCGAAACCCCACTTGCTTCCCCACTTGCTTCCCTGCCCTCTACCCTCAACCCGAATAGCCACTTGCAAACCCTTACCGCTTGCCTTTTATATCTGCCACCTCCCCTATCCCCCTCCAATCTACAGGAATTGTCTAGGCGTGTAGCAACACATCTTTGCTTCAACATTGAAGCTTCAATGATTTAGTTCTACCCATCTGCGGAAGAGGCCTTAGATCATGGGTTTAGCGAGTTTGTGTCGCCACAGGTTCTGGCCTCGTTGCGTGCGCTCTTTCAGCACAACGATGCCAGCACCAGAGGGGTCTTTTTCGAGCAGCTGTCCTCAACTAGGACTTCTATCAACGGCTGGATGAGAAAGGTGGCACTCACGGCGTTGGGTCGGCAGGCAAACAGGTGCTACTTGGGGAGGTTACCAGCAGATCTGCTTGCCCCACTCGAGTTCTACACGGATGAGGAGCTCATTGCACGTTACAAGGATGGTGAGTTTGTATAAAGCTTTTGATCCCGTAGTTGTTGTTATGTGTGTACCAATAATTTCTATAAGCACTACTTTGTTCCACGTTGCCCATTTCGGTTGCCCTCTAGTCACCATCATGTCACCACCTTTCATCCCTTTGTCTCCTATGACCATGCAATCCCATTTCAGGGGAGAGGGGGCTGGCATGGCATCGGGAGCTCCTCATCCCTTTCGGCAGCCTCATCTTCTCGGTGTCCATCAAGTTGGCTTTGGCGCGTCGTGGGGTCAATTCTGAGAAGATTAAGACCCGCCAGCTGGGTTGGATCCTATATGCGGTGAGTTTATGGACAAGGTGTTATGTTTGTTGCCACGTGTGCGATGAGCGATTTAGTGTTGTGTTAACCTTTTTCTGTTAATTCATTCCACTACATTCCCACCTCATACCCACCACATTCCTACAGTTTGAGTGGCCAATCCTCAACAACGCGCCTGATGGGAAGTTGAGTGGCAAGTGGGAGTACAATCGGATCCAGTACGAGGAGATGTGCACCCGTGTGAAGCGGGAGGTCGAGATCGCTGTCATTGACCATGGTGTCCCATACGCCAAAAACACGAACACATTCAACTTCCCCAACGGCGTCTACATCGACGCGTCTGACATGGAGACCCTTGTCAGCAGGGTGCAGGTAAGTCATCCCTAGGACCAAAACCTTGCTAATATGGCACCGACACTTTGCTTATGTGGCACCAAGATCTTGCTATGGCACCAGCATTGCTGAATTCCTCCCATCTCATCCGTCCCCTTCCTCCCATCTCATCCGTCCCCTTCTTCCCATCTCATCCGTCCCCTTCTTCCCATCTCATCCCTCCCCCCTCTTCCCATCTCATCTGTCCCCTTCCTCCCATCTCATCCGTCCCCTTCCTCCCATCTCATCCGTCCCCTTCTTCCCATCTCATCCGTCCCCTTCTTCCCTTCTCATCCGTCCCCTTCCTCCTATCTCATCCGTCCCCTTCCTTCCATCCCCTTCCGTCCCCTATGCCTCTTTGCACAGGCTGCACGACCTGCACTAGCCCGGGTTGTCACCCCAAACCCGTAATCACGGAGGTTAGCAGCAGCACTAGGGGGATCGGTGCAGGGCGTAGCAGTGGCAGTAGCAACCTGCAGGAGCAGCACGGAGACAGGTGCGGAGTAGCGTAGCAGTCGCAATAGCAACCTGCAGGAGCAACACAGAGACTGGTGCGGAGGGGCGTAGCAGTGGCAGTAACAACTAGTAGCCGCAGCATGGGGACATGCGGAGCAGCAGTGGCAGCAACGGGACAGGTGCGGAGCAGCAGCGGCAGCATGGGGACAGGTGTTGAGCAGCAGGGGCAGCAGGGGGACAGGTGCGGAGCAGCAGTGGCAGCATCGGGACAGGTGCGGAGCAGCAGTGGCAGCATCGGGACAGGTGCAGAGCAGCAGTGGCAGCATGGGGACAGGTGCGGAGCAGCAGTGGCAGCATGGGGACAGGTGTGGAGCAGCAGGGGCAGCATGGGGACAGGTGCGGAGCAGCAGTGGCAGCATGGGGACAGGTGCGGAGCAGCAGGGAAGGATGTGGCAGTGCTCTTATCATCAGTAGAACCAACCCACCATCAGTAGAAGGATGTGGTAGTGTAGAAGCAATACAGTTGTTCGGTATTGTTTTGCTATATCTGGAGGTACATTATGCTGTAATATGTTTTTGCAATAAAAATGGTTTTTAAAATGAAATTTCATACAAATGGCAGTTTTGTATTGGGCCCAACCAGACTCTAGTTTGGGACCATGTTTGGTCACACTTGGGTTAAAGCTGAGAGTAGATTTGGTAAAAAAATGGTCCTTAAACTCATCTAAAGTTTGGCCAAACATAGCCCAAACTTCATCTTAGCAACTACACCAATATTGGTCCACACAATGAGACCAATAATGGCCCGATTTTGGACGGAAACACCAAAATTGGTCCAAATATTGACCTATCTAATAGGGGGGGTTTTGTGATGATACTGGTGGCGAGGAGAAGAGCCAGGAGCAGAGAGACGAGAAGCAGTCGAGTGATCCTCATTACGATAACCTTGTGCGTCACTGTCGAAAACGGAGCGAAGCCCCTAACGAGTAGGCTCCGAAGTCGCTAACGAGTCAGGCCAGCAAGTTCTGAATATGTGATGAGAATAGGGCTGTTTGCTGCAGGCGGAACTCGCGTTGTGCGATCTCAAAAGTGCACGACACTAGCACTCGTGATTGTTGTGAGAGAAAATTCGAGGGAAGTGCAGGTCACAACTTGGGCTGGTCGTGCGAGCATTTTATACTTGGAGATTGGGCTTGGCATTTTTTTAGGGGCGCAATTGGCGCAGGGGGCGCGAGCGACGCGACGCGAGGTTCGACGTGGTGGGGGAATGTGTTGCTGTGCAGTGCGGAGTCACAGCGGGAGTTAGGTGGGTTGGGGGGATGGGAGATGGGGCTGGGGGGAAATGGTTGAAGAGGGGAACAGCCAGCGCGGTTCGAAGTGCAGAGATGCGCATGGTTGGTCGGAGGGCAGCAGTGCAGTACTTCCGTGGCGGCAGCAAACGCCACTGGCTCATCTCAACACACTCAGCACATCCCCGCCATTCCCTGCTGCGTCGTTCCACTGGCAAGCTGAACGCTTACCCCACACGCGGAGAGGCTCGTGGGGAATCCCCGAATATGAAAAAGTGTGTAGTTTTGTTACGAGTGCAATTGAGTGAACGAACGAGAATTGCACTATCGAAGCAAGAGTACAAATGAGCGAAGGCATGAGCGAACATTATATAGCAAAACTACAGTGGTAACGGTAATGGTCGCGCGACGAGCCTGGGACTGCGGTTGGGAAAGTGTCGAAGCGTAGGTCCGGAGCGCGAGTTACCAGCCGAGCCGTGAGGTCGGGATGCGATGTGCGAAAAGGGCGGGATGATGAATGATGCGATGGTCGCGAGTGGTAACGGTGCTGACTGAGGTGCTACAGTGATGTACGCGTTGAGCAGGGACGCGAAGTAAGGAAAAAGGGAATTTCCTTACACTACCCCCCCTCCTAAGAGGTCCTCCTTATGAAAGCGCGTGGATGTCTCGGAAATTGCGGCTACGCAGGTAGTCGGTGACGACGGGGTGATTTTCAACTTTCTCCAAGGGAACCCAATTGTCCTCGGTGGGGGTACGATCTTTCCAGCGGATCAGAAACTCCACTTTTCGGGCTCCTCGAGGGTCGCGAACTCTGTGGCTCAGGATCTTGTCGGGGGTGATGACTGGTCCGGTTGGTGGTCGTGTCATGCTGGTGGGTCGATGTCGTGGGAGTTGGCTGGTGGTTGGCACGTAAGGGCGAAGTAAGCTGACGTGGAACGAGGGGCTGACGTACCAGTCAGCAGGGAGGAGGAGGTGCGCGGTGACTGGCGTAACCATGTGACTGATTCGAAATGGCCCACAGTATCGAGGGCGGAGTTTTGGAGTGATGGGCAGGCGGAGGTTCTGAGTGTCGAGTAAAACGAGGTCGTCGGGCTGATAAGTAACGGGTCTGCGATGGCGATCGGCGTTGCGTTTAGCGATGATGTTTGATTTTTTTATTGCTTCTGCTGCCCTGGTCCGTGCTGCTTGCAGAATCTCGGCGAACTGTTGTGCTCGTGGGACGGGGTTGTCGGGATTCGGTGTCATGGGTACTGTTGGGTCCTGTCCGTAATTCAAGTAAAACGGCGACTGTTGCGTCGTGGCTGATGGTGCGTTATTGTATGCGAACTCGATGAGTGGCAGCTGCTGTTCCCACGTATTCGGATCGTCGCACGTGGCTCGAATCAGCTGCTCCATGGTCTGATTTGTCCGTTCCGTCTGTCCGTCGGTTTCGGGGTGATAGGATGAACTGAACTGTAAGCGCGTGCCGAACTGCTGCCACAGGTTCCGCCAGAAGTTGCTTGTAAATTTCGTGTCTCGGTCGCTGATGATCGATGCGGGTATCCCGTGCAGTCGAACGACGGTGGTGATGAAGAGTCGTGTGGTTTCCTCGGCTGTGATTGATTTCCTGCATGCTGCGAAATGAGCCATCTTCGTTAGTCGATCGACGATGACCAGGATCGCGTCATTCCCACTCGCCCCAGCTGGTAACCCCGTGACGAAATCCATCGTCACCTGCTGCCAAGCACGCTCTGGGGGCGGGATGGGTTGTAATTGTCCCGCCAGCCGCTTCCTGCTTGACTTCATGAGCTGGCAAGTGGGGCACGATGCCACGTGTCGTTGCACATCGGTCAACATTTCTGGCCAGTAGTAGTACCGCTGCAGCTGCTGCCGTGTTTTTTCTACCCCGAAATGTCCCGAGGTAACTCCGTCGTGTGCTTCCTGTAACAGTAGTTCCCTCAGTAGCGTGTATCCTGGTACCCAGATGCGGTCGGTTCCAGCTTTTACGTAATAGACTCCTTTTGCCGCTGCGAATTGCTGTGAGTTGCCTCCTCTAAAGAACGGGTATGTTTGATATCCGTGGGTAAATAGGCCTGTCAGTAGCAGGCTGGTCTGGGCGAGTAGTATCGTGTGGATTTGGGCAGAAGGGCGGGTCAGTGAGTCGGCGATATTCGAGGCTCCTTTTTTGTATGTGACCGTATAGTGAAAATTCGACTCGAGGAAATCGAGCCATCGAATTTGTCGTGGGTTGAGGTGGGGCTGTGCGCGGAGGTACTGTAGAGATCGATGGTCTGTCCGTACTGTCACGTCTGCGCCGGTCAAGTAGCAGCGCCACACTTTGAATGCGTGCACGATCGCGAGCATTTCGCGGTCGTGTATCGGGTAATTTCGCTCAGGCGGATGTAGTTTGCGTGATTCGTAGGCGATGGGTTGGAGGCCGTCGCCAAAGTCCTGTAACAGTACAGCTCCGATGGCGATGTCACTTGCGTCGGTAACCACTTCGAAAGGGCGGTGGGGATCAGCGATGCGTAGAACGGGTGGTGAACAGAGAACGTTTTTCAGGGCAGAGAAGGCATCATGCTCTTTCTCCCCCCACGTAAAAGCGACCCCCTTACGCAGTAAATCAGTGAGTGGGGCTGTTAAACGTGCCATGTCGGGCACGAACCGTCGAACGTAATTAACAAAACCTAAAAAACTCTGCAGTTCCGTGATGTTCGTCGGGGGGCGCCACGCTTTTACCGTATCCAGCTTCTTTGGGTCAATCTCAACCCCAGCCTCCGAAATGACGTGACCCAAAAACTCTAGCCTATCCCTAAAAAACTCGCACTTGGAGCCCTTGGTGAGTAGCCGATGTTCCTCCAAAACCTTAAAAACTGCTTCAAGATCCACTAAGTGCTGCTGCTTATCCCGGCTGTAAACTAGAATATCGTCCAAGTAAACTATCACGCATTTATCTAAAAGTGGTCTAAACGCCTCGTTCATGGTCATCTGAAATGTCGCAGGCGCGTTCGTCAGCCCGAATGGCATTACTGTATACTCGAATGACCCGTACCTAGTCCTAAATGCTGTTTTGGCGCAGTCCGATGGTTCGACCCGAATCTGATGGTAACCTCCCCGTAAATCTATTTTTGAAAAGACTCGTGCTGTTCGCAGCTGGTCGATCAGTTCGTCGGCGCGGGGGATGGGGCATCGTGATTTTACTGTTACCCTGTTAAGCGCTCGGTAGTCGATGCACATGCGGAAACCTCCGTCTTTTTCGGTGTGAACAGTATCGGTGCGGCGAACGGTGACGAGCTCGGTCGGATAAACTGCTTCTCTAACAGGTAATCTAACTGCTTCCTTAACTCGTCGAGCTCGGGCTGTGTCAGTCGAAATTGCCGCTGTACAGTTGGCTGTGCCCCCGGTTCTAACTCGATCCTATGGTCGTGCGCCCGCTGAGGTGGCAGTCCGTGTGGTAAATCATCCGGAAATATCCCCGGGAACTGTTTCAGTAGTGCCTGTAGTTCGGTCGGTACAGTTGCCAGCAGTTTCTCCAAATCACTCGGCTGCTCATCTTTTTCTACGAGTGCGATATCCACTGCGTACACGTCAGCTCCAGCAGCGACAGCCCGTTTCATCGTGATGGCGTTGACCTGGACCGTCGAAGATTTGGGTGGCTGCCAGCGAGGTAGAACGACCCAGTTACCACTACTTCGCACTGTGCAGCTCCCCGTCGTCCAGTCGATCCGTGGGTTGTACCGTCGCAGCCAATCACGTCCCAATAAAATGTCGTGCCCATCCAGAGTCGTCGCGAGCATTTCCTGTGTAAACCCGAAGTTCCCCCCGCAGCGGACTTTTACGCGCTCCACCTTTTCCCGTATGGCCAGGGGCGTGCCGTCGACTAAGCGTGCATCTATCTCAGGTAAACATCGGTTAAGCGTTAACTGTAATTTTCGTGCGGTTGCGGTATTAACTAAGCTGTGGCTTGCTCCTCCGTCAATGAAGATCTTCACTGCTGCTCCCTGTATTTTCCCGTAGATCAGTACCGGGCAATCCATCGCTGTACCCTCCTTATTCATCCGAGCCCGATCGATGGCGTGAATCGGTACTGTGACTCGGTAAGGGTCGGTGTGGTTGGGCGAGCAGGCAGTCTCGTCAGTAGTTGGCCCAACTTCTACTGACTGCTGGCGTTTCCCTGCCTCCGAGACTCCCTCCCCTGCTCTTCTCTTCGACGCCTCAGCTCCTCTGGACATTCGCTCTTGCGATGGCCCGGCCGGTTGCAAGCAAAGCAGCGCCCTCTAAACGGCGCGGCAGCTGCATTCGCTGCGACGGCATGTACAGTGGCGTGCTCGGTCGGTCCCCGAGGACGATGTCCGTAATAGGACCCCGGTCTCGGTCGGCGTAGGATATCGATTTTCTCGGCGAGCGCGAGGATCTCGTTGAAATTCGAGAGCCCGCGTAGCATTATCTCGTGCGAGATGTCCGGCTTCAGCCCTCCGACGTAACGGTCCACCCGCTCCGCCTCGTGCATGTAGCCGACCTGTTCGCAAACTGCGAGAAACCCGCTGGTGTAGTCTTGAACTGACCCGAGCTGGCGCCAAGTGCGCAGTTTCTGACGCGCCGAAATCGAGGCCGCGATCGGCTCAAAGCGCGCCCGAAGCCCTGCGCACCACGCATCCCACGTGCTGTATTGGGCGGTTTCGCAGAACGAACTCCAGGTAACAGCTAGACCCGAGGGCCCTTCCTCGTGCGACGGTGGCTCGTAGGCGCGCGGCGACGTCACAATGACTCGCCACCAGTCCATGGCGGGGCCCCTGAGTAGTGAAACCGCATACCGGATCTTGGCGGCGTCCGACTCGACGTAGTTGGCGTCGAAAAACACATTCATCGTGAAGACCCACGATTGAACTGTCGGGCCGCCGCGTTGGCTTGGGTCGAAGCAGGGCGGGCGTTGCGGCTTGAGTGGCATTGGGGCCATCATGGCGTTTTCGCCACTTGTCGCCGCAAACTCCACGTGCCGACGGGCTTCTCGGGGCTCCCGTGGGCTTAATGCGCTCCTGTTCCCTCCCATGCCGGGCATCGGTTGGGCTGCGCCGTCACTGGCTGCGCCTGAGCGCTGTCCCGTGCTGTTGTGTTGCGTTGGTGTGCCAGATGAGATGACGATGGGCTCCTCCGAATGTGCAGATGCATTGGTTGGTGCGCGTGATGTCGTCGGTACGTTCACCGTTGACTGTTGACGGGCGGAGTCACGTTCCGCCGTGAGAGTCGCGATTTCGAGCGCCGAATCCTCCAATTGACGCACGAGACGATCGAGTTGCTCTTGCGTCAACGTGGAGAGATTGAAATCGGCCATGGCGGGGGTGTCGGGCAAGCTCAGTGAGAGCCTCGGTCGTGGCCGTGCGTGCTTTCGAGAGAGCACTACGAGCGGCGGTGCTGTGTCGCTGAGAGACGTCTACCCCCCCCAAAAATTGAGATAGTGGGAAGCGAAGGTGTGGATGCGGTCCGAGATGAGATCGTAGGCTCTGAATACCAAGTGTTACGAGTGCAATTGAGTGAACGAACGAGAATTGCACTATCGAAGCAAGAGTACAAATGAGCGAAGGCATGAGCGAACATTATATAGCGAAACTACAGTGGTAACGGTAATGGTCGCGCGACGAGCCTGGGACTGAGGTTGGGAAAGTGTCGAAGCGTAGGTCCGGAGCGCGGGTTACCAGCCGAGCCGTGAGGTCGGGATGCGATGTGCGAAAAGGGCGGGATGATGAATGATGCGATGATCGCGAGTGGTAACGGTGCTGACTGAGGTGCTACAGTGATGTACGCGTTGAGCAGGGACGCGAAGTAAGGAAAAGGGAATTTCCTTACAAGTTTGGTGGATTTCCAGGTGAATATGAAAGAACCCCCGAATTTCTTACGAGGCCTGAGAAGTGTTATGCTGGGCTCGTGAGTTCCTTCCACCTACCGTAATCAATGTCCGAAGTCATGATTTCTGTCGAGCTCCAGTTTACATTTCTCAACGGGATTTCGGGTTTATACAGTGTGCCTCACAGTTTTGGGGCAACTTTTCAAGTTCCTAAGGATTTTGAAACGCCTCCTTTCAAATGTAGTGGGCCTGGTCATCGGTTGTGAAAACCCGTTCATTCTGTTCATCACAAGCCGCACGAGACTGTTCATGGCATGGAATGTCAGGGGTGGCATGCGAACCGGGTTTCCCGTTTCGCAAATGCACGCATGCTCCTAACGAACTCCACAAGTGCTAGGGAGCAGAAGATTGGGGGTGAGATGTGACAAACGGCGGTGACCTGCGACACGCATGAAACATGTGTGTGCGTTTTGGAATGTTTCGCCGTTCACATCACACGGCTTCTGCCGACAAGTGTAAAGGTGTATTTTTTCGACGAAAGCCGTTACACAAAGGCGTTGTTCTGCAGGCGTTTAGGGTTCCGCACCAATTCGACCGCGGTAGCCTTCTGTGCAATTTCTATGCGCATTCATGCTGGTTGCGTTGCGCGGATGTTGCTGCCTCGCATAACATGTGCGGAGGCTGATGCTAGCTCACGAGGTAGAGGCGCTGTTCTGTAGGCGTTAAAATTCCAAAAACTGGGTCCGCAGAATCTTCGTTGATAAGTGGTCTTCTGCCTATCAAGGTTTGGTGATAAGAAAGGTCATGCCGAACCTGTTTGCGCCAAATTTAACGCATCAGCCTGCAGAACGCCACTTTTGGGGCGCACGAATTTAACAGCCTGCAGGTTCGAAGTTGTTGCTTCGCCGGGAAAATGGCCGCACAACTAGTGCGGTGGTAATTCTACCTCGGGAGCTAGCTTCAGCCTCCGCACATGATATGCAAGGCAGCAACATCCGTGCAACGCAACCAGCATGAATGCGCCTAGAAAATGCACGGAAGGCCACCGCAGTCAAATTGGTGCGGAGCCCTAAATTGGTGCAGAACAACGCCAGAATTAGCACCGCACTAGTTGTGCGACCATCAGTTGTGCACTAATTGCTCGGCGAAGCAACAAATTCGAACCTGCAGACGGTTAAATTCGTGCGCCGCAAAAGTGGCGTTCTGCAGGCTGAAGCGTTAAATTTGGCGAAAACAGGTTCGGCAGGACCTTTCTTATCACCAAACCTTGATAGGCAGAAGACCACTTATCAACGAAGATTCTGCGGACCCAGTTTTTGGAAATTTTAATGCCTACAGAATAGCGCCAATGGCTTTACGAATGCGATCGGCTCGCAATGCCACATTTTGCCAGTGGGTGGATGGTCTGGCCGGCAGCAACTCCGATAAATTGGACGGTTCAGTGTGTTGCTGTATGAACCGCTGGCAAAATCAGGTGCTGGGCAAAACCGTCAGGTTGTTGGCCAGTTTCCGCTGTCGGAGCAAGCAGCCATTCCCAAAATACGCGATACAAATTGCGTCGTTCTTGCATTAGCCTGGCCTGAAACTGCATTACCTTTCATGCGACGTAACCAAAACACGACTTTTGCACCACAATCGCTATCAGCCACAACCACAAACCCCTCTGCCAGTCGCTGCCTGCCATCTGACAAATCCCTGAATCCCGAAACCCAATCGGAGGGTTGTACACTTGGCGGGAAAATGGCTCCCAGACTGACTTGAGGATTTGGGTGTGAATGTGAAGTGAATGGAGGATCAGACTTATCAGCGGTCCACCTCGTTGAATTAGGGGAAACCCTACTAGCATTTTAGGTAATTTCTGCTCCGTCTAGGGTTCACTGACGTGCTGTGGGTGACTGATTTTAGCATCGCATACAGCCGTTTCGTGGACCAGCAGCGATGTCTGGGTACGATTACCAGGGCTACGGCGATGGAGGAGGTGGTGGGGGTGGAGGAGGAGGAGGGGGATATGGAGGGGGAGGCGGGTATGGCGGAGGTAAGATATCACACTGCTAGCAGTTCCCTCCTGTAAGATAAAAAATTACTTCCTTTCAAAACGATTGTTTTCTTTCTTTCTGCGTCGGAAAGCACAGATCTGGTCTTACAGAAACAATAGAACATCTAGGAGGCTTTTCATCCCTAAATCTTATTCTCACACATCAGATCTGCAGCGTAAGTTCATCGGCATTCCCATTTCTTTTCTCTGTCTCTCTCTGCTTGACTTCACATGCCATCCTTCCTCCGTTATTTCCATGGCGTGGAACCCTCGATCGAATCGCCCAGGCGGGGGCCGCGGAGGGTTCGGCGGACGAGGCGGAGGAGGTCGAGGCGACGGTGATTGGCTGTGCCCGAACCCATCGTACGGACCGCCCTTAGCTTTTTAGTAACCACCACCTCCTCCAATGCCGGTCGTGGCTCGCAATCTGTAACGTGGTGTTCGCATCGCTATGGCGACTGTCGCATGGGTTGGCGAAAGGTTTTTGGTTGCTTGGACGTTTCCCGGGGTGGTCTGCTCGAATTTTCTCACTTTGAATCAGGTAGGTTTCATCGCGCTTTTTTCTATTAGCATAGGTTTCGCTCTAATATACCACCGCTGTAAGTAGTATCGAGGCGTCTATTAGACGCTATAGAGTGAGGCGGTTGCTGTCTTAAAAAAACGCGCAATAGCAGCTGCGTTCAGGCGCCATTCAATTCCGCCTGTTTCACCAGCGATCATATTCCGCGTTATACCTTTCCCCATCATAAATTAATCGTCCTCTTCTTTCAGCTCGCTGAATGCTGTTTCTCTCCTGCATCCCGTTTCTTCAACCTCTCACCGTCGTCTGCGCCTGTGGTGTTCTCTTCGCAGATGTGGTAACAACAATTTCGCACGTCGCTCCGAGTGTAATCGCTGCGGTACCGCGCGTCCTGGCGGAGCCGGCGGGGGTGGCGGAGGCGGAGACTACGGCGGAGGCGGAGGCGGAGGGTATGGCGGAGGAGGCGGGCGGGGGGCTCCGCCCCCTCGCCCCGGCGACTGGGATTGCCCGGGGTGAGTTTCCCCGGGTGGTGACTATCGTGAAGGGGTGTAGCCGTACGCTAGCGTTGTGATTATTTCGAGGGGAAATTCCGATCTTGAGCACAGTGTCTGTTCGTAGGATTGCACATGCGTGGGCTTTGTGAATATTGCGGAGATAACTTGAAGTATAGGCTTTGTGAGGGTAAAACTTAGCCAGTTAACGGTGCTCCACTCGCCTCTAGGATAAACAGCGGTAGTTCCGGCATTTCTTTCCCCGTTCTCCGTTCCCTTTTCCCCGTTTCGCGTTCCCCGTTACCCGTTCCCCGGTTTTCCGTTCCCCCGTTCCCCGTCCACTGTTCCCCGTTCCCCCATCCTCCGTTCTCCCGGTCCTTGTTCCCCGTTCCGGCTCCCCATCCTCTGCTCACCCGTTCCCCCTTCCCCCTTCCCCCGTTCCCCGTCCGCGGTTTCCCGTTTCCCATTCTCTGTTCGCCCATGCGCCCGTTCGCCGTTCCTCGTTCCTGTTTCCTTCCACTGCAGTTGCGGTAACAGCAACTTTGCTCGCCGCGCCGAGTGCTTCAAGTGCGGTTCTGCGCGCCCCGCCGACGCGGGCGGCGGCGGCGGCGGGCGGGAGGATCGGTATGGCGGCGGAAGAGACGACAGGGGGGGTGATCGCTACGGGGGTGGGAGAGGCGACGACAGGGGGGGGGATCGCTACGGTGGCGGGAGAGGGGATGACAGGGGCAGGGGAGACGACAGGGGGAGGGGTGATGACCGCGGGAGAGATGACAGGGGAAGGGGGGACGATAGGCGTGGGAGGGATGACAGGCGCGGCGGGGACTACGGGTCTCGCGGAGGGGACCGCGACGGGGGGCGTGGGGATGGGGGCCGGGGGGGCAGTGATTATGGCGGGCGCGGTGGGGGAGACTATGCGCGGGACGACAGGGGCGGTGGCGGAGGGGGAGGGGGCTCCGCGGGCGGGGGATACGGGGGAGGAGGGGGATATGGGGAGGACGCCGGGGCCGACAGCGGGGGCGGGGGGGGAGCGCCGGGGGTGAAGCAGTGCGACGAGAACTGCCCCCCGGATTGCGACAACGCGCGGATTTACATTTCCGGGCTCCCCAAGGACGTCACCGTTGACGAGCTGTGCAACCTGTTCGGCGGCATTGGGATGGTGAGTGGTTATGAGGGGTGGTGACTGGTGGTGAGGCGTGGTGAGCGGTGATGAGGGGTTAAGTAGGGATGAAGTAATTAGAAGAGGGTTTTAAGGGGTTTCGGATGGCGGGATGAAAGGAGGGTTCTCATGACTCATATCGGTGTACCACGTACGCGGATGGTCAAGAAAGAAACGAATTAGCAAAAAAGAGTAGAAGGAGCGAAGTAGTAATTCAGATGAAAGCAAGATTGATAGGGGGGGGGATCAGTGGCCGTTCAACGTGGAGCTCTACACGGACGAGAGGGGGCAGAACAAGGGCGACGGCGTCCTGACCAATGATGGCTAACCTTCGACCCTCCCCCCGTCCCCTTCCCTCTTCCCCCTTCCCTCTTCCCTCTTCCCCTTCTCCCTTCCCTCTTCCCCCTTCCCCTTTCCCCTTTCTCCCCTCCCCTCCGCGCGCCCAGATCGCGCGCATCAAGCAGAAGCGCGGGTACAAGGACCAGTGGCCGTTCAACGTGAAGCTGTACACGGACGAGAGGGGGCAGAACAAGGGCGACGGCGTGCTGACGTACGAGGACCCACAGGCCGCCCACAGCGCCGGTGGCTTCTTCAATGGTGAGCTGGTGCTTGTGGTTGCTCTAAGAGGGTGTTTGCAAGTGGCCGTTCAACGTGAAGCTTTACACAGACGAGAGGGGGCAGAAGGGTAACGGCGTGCTCACCTACGAGGACCCCCAGGCAGCTCACAGCGCTGGTGGCTTCTTCAATGGTGAGCTTTAGGGTTTAGGTGGGTTGGGGTGCTTGTAGTTGCTCCAAGCGTGCGTGTGGGGTTGAAGCTGCGTGAAGCTATGCACAGATGAGAGGGGACATGCAGAACAAGGGCGACGGTGTGCTCGCTCACCTACGAGGACCCCCAGGCAGCTCACAGTGCCGGTGGCTTCTTCAACGGTGAGCTGGTGCTTGTGGTTGCTCCAAGACGGTGTGTGCAAAAGGCTGTTCGACGTGAAGCTATACACGAACGGACGAGAGGGGGCAGAACAAGGGCGACGGCGTGCTCACCTACGAGGACCCACAGGCAGCTCACAGCGCCGGTGGTTTCTCTAACGGTGAGATGGGTGTCCCTGGGACCCTCCTTGGTGGGTTGGTTGGGGTGCTTGGTGGGTTGCTCTAAAAGAGTGTGTGTGGTTGAAGGTGTGAAGCTGTACACGGACGAGAGGGGGTAGAACAAGGGCGACGGTGTCCTGACCTACGAGGGCCCGCAGGCCGCCCACAGCGCTGGTGGCTTCTTCAACGGTGAGATGGGCGCTTGGGATGTCCCCCCTCGGCTTCCTCCTCCCCTCCTCCTCTCCCCCATCTCTTCACCTCCCTCCCATATCTCCCCAACCTCCCTCCCATCAGTATTGTGCCCCTTTCACTCCCCCTTTTCTGCTCTTCTCCCCTCCTCTCCGCTCTCCCCCTCCTGAGGCCACACCCTGGGTGGAAGCACTATAAAAGTGGGCTTGGCACAGAAGTTAGCCCCACGGCCGGGAGGAAAACTCACCTCTGTGTGTCCTCGCCCCCCATTCTCCCCACCTCTATCCCTCTGTCTCCCCATCCTCCATTTTCTTCCCCCCAGGTCACACCCTGCCGGCAGCACCATTAAAGTGGGCATGGCAGAGAAGTCAGCACCACGGCCAGGAGGACAACTCACCTCTGTGTGTCCTCGCCCCCCCTTTCCCCCTTCTCCTCCCCCCTCGTCTCCCCCATTGCCCCCTTGCCCCCCATTTCAGGTCACACTCTGCGTGGCAGCACCATCAAAGTGGGCATGGCAGAGAAGTCGGCACCGCGGCCGGGAGGAGGAGGCGGACGAGGAGGGTGAGTGGCAGATTGGGGGTTTGGGGGGATATTTGGGGTTGAGGGTGGGGTTGAGTGAGGTTGAATGTGGTAGAGTGGTTGAGTCGCGCTATGTCTGTGTGGCAGCACTGGGAATGGCGGAGAAGTCGGCACCGCGGCCGGGAGGAGGAGGCGGACGAGGAGGGTGAGTGGCAGTGGGTTGAGGGGGGAATATTATTTGGGATTGGAGAGGTGGGTGGGTGGGGTTCTCGGGTGGGCAGCACCATTAAAGTGGGCATGGCAGAGAAGTCGGCACCGCGGCCGGGAGGAGGAGGCGAACGAGGGGGGTGAGTGGGGCTTGAGGGTTTGGGGGGGTGTTTGGGAAAGGAGGGGGGACGAGGGGGTGAGGGGGATGACGAGGATATTGGGGGTGGGAGAAGGGTGAGTGGGTTGAGTGGCACTTTGAGGATGGGGTGTGAGGAGGATGAGTGCTTTGGGGTGGTGGGGAGTGGAATTTTTATGGGGCGAGGTGGGCTAAGTGATGCTTTAGGGTCTTCACTGTTTCTTGTGCTGCTATTTGTTGCTGTTACTCTACCTTACTGCGCTCTCCCTTCGCCTCTCTCCTCCCTCGCTCCTCTCTCTCTCTCTCTATCTCCCTCCTCTCGTCCCTCGCTCCTCGCTCCTCCCTCGCTCCTCGCTCCTCCCTCGCTCCTCGCTCCTCCCTCGCTCCTCGCTCCTCCCTCGCTCCTCTCTCCTCCCTCGCTCCTCTCTCCTCCCCCGCTCCTCCCCCCTCTCTCGCTCCTCTCTCCTCCCTCACTCCCTCCCTCACTGCTCATGCTCTCCCACTCTCCGCGTCCACTTAACCCTCCCCATGTGTCCTGTGCCCGTGTGTCATTGCAGTGGAGGCTTCAGGGGAGGTCGAGGGGGGTTCGGGGGAGGGGGAGGCTTCAGAGGGGGAGGGGGGCCCGACCGCAGGGACTTCGACAGGGGGAGGCCGCGTCCCTACTAAGTGAGGGGAGGGGGTCGGGGAAGAGGGGGAAGAGGAGGGAGAGGGGGGGTGGGGGAGGGAGGGGGGTGGAAGGGGAGGGGGGCCCGACCGCAGGGACTTCGACATGGGGAGGCCGCACCCCTACTGAGGGGGGGGGAGGGGGAGGCCGTGACCATTCTGGCTGAACCTTGTTGGGACACTAGACCCTCTCTCCCTCTTGTTGTGCCCCCCTGCTCAGGTTAGCACTGCAGCATTGACTTTCTTGCCTCCACGGTTGTGTGTTTCAGAATAGGATATTGAATTGTTGTGGTACAGTATGCTCCTTGCGCCATATATGCTGGGATAGTGGCATTTGACACTGGTCCTGTGGTAGCTTTAGTTACATGTTTTGGGTGGGGGTAGGGTATTCTTGGCGTTGCTGGCCTTGATAGGTGGTAGTATCTCAGAATCACAAGTTTTTACGGTACTGGTATGCACAAACAACAACAGAAACATTGGTGGTATAACACTTCAGAGCGTGATGCAAAGCTGTTTGCTGAACAGCACAGTTAATCACAGTTGGTGGTGAGTTACTGTCCAGAACTTTCCACATGTGGAACATCTGTGGGGCGAGCAGGCACTTAGCCCCCAACACTGTTAAGCAACCAGTAGCTGCAGTTTCGTACCCTACGATATATCCAACCACCCTAGCCCAACTCCTCCCCTTGACCACCTATCTACAGCCCATACCATAACAACTAGCCGTTGCACTTGCGAATCCAACCAACCAGTAATTGGAGATTCCACCAGAGGTGACTGACCCCATCAGTCATTTTCCCATCCCATCCCAAGCAGTTACCCTCTTCCAATCCACTTCTCTACGACAAATAGCTAGCAACTAGCCGTTGAACTTGCAGATTCAACCAGTCATTGAAGATCCCACATGAAGTGACTAACCCCAGCAGTTATTTGCCGATCCCATCCCATGCGGCTACCTTGTCAGCGGTTACCCTGTCACCTGTGAGCCATCACAAGCCTACCCTGACCTGTCGATCCCACATTGGCCACGAATGACACCGCTGGGGTAGTTAGTATTCGCCGCCAAGCCGTAATGCTTTTGAGTTGTCCGCGCAAGGACTTCGATTGCATCAAATAGGTTCGACCCATCAGCAGCAGTCATCGACCTTATTCCGTCCCACGACCCGCGAAACACGTAGTTGTAACCGAGAGGAGCGGGAGATTTTGGGAACCACGAGACGATCCCAAGGCTGATGGTTCGGGTCAAGTTGTGCCATTTGTTATGTTGGTCGCCGAAATCGATCACTGTAGACCCGTCCTCTCCCTCATAGCCTGTGTTGATAACAGCTGCTATGGGATACCCAGGTTCTCTAACCTTCACAAAGCCACCATAATGAGCGTCAAAATCACCGTCGTTCCTGCAGGAGTGAAAAAAGGGGAAAAGAGGGGGAGATGAGGGGAAGGATATTGAGTAACAATGATGGAGGAGGTATTTATAACAATAAAGTAATGCTACAAGGTGTAGCATTTTCTTTTTACATTGAGGATGGATGGAGTAGCTCTGAACAAGCGCACATGCTAATACGGTATCGAGGATTGTGGCTAGCTACGACAAGCGCACCTCTTATAAACGAGGATGAAGTAAAAGCCAAAGGCCCTATCCTGCCCAATTTTGTTCCCCTTGGAGTCTCTCCCCCTCATGACACATATTATGGTCGCTGCAAGGAAGATAGGGGTATGGAGGGGGAACACAAGGGAAGGGGAACACAAGGGAATGAAGGAGAGTGCAAGTGTGGATCGAACAGTGCCACCCCTCAAGCCCCCCCCCTCCTCGTGACACACACTATGTTGGAGCATTGGTGTTCGGGAAAGGGCAGGGAGAGTGTGTTGGGGTGGGGGGGGAACGATGGGCGGAGTTGGGGAGGCGGGAGGAATGCGGAAGAACAGCGAGGGAATGGGGGAAGGCTGGTTCTGATTCAATTTTATTTGATCAAACCTGTTTGTTGGGTCCTTCTCCCTCATTGGGCATTTTACTCTTCATTTAGGCGTGCAGCTTGCTTTGCAAGCGGAAACACCTGCGGACCATGCTTGCTTAGCTTAAGCAGGCACTCAAATAGTACGGTCTATCATCGTTGGTGTGCGGCTTGCTTTGCGTAGGCACAAGCATTGCTTCGTTCGTTACACCAGGAATTGCTTGACCGGAATTACTCACAAGGGTCACAAGGGGGAAGAGCGGACGTTTGAACCTACCCCTCATGCCAGCGTAATCGGCTCGTTCGGTGCAAGTTGCACCACACATCGGTCACCATAAAAGTCACTCAGAAGGGGCGGGAAACATATTCCGCATGCCTGCGATCACTCGGCTCCCTGAACAAGCTTGTGTAATTGGCCAATGTGATTCGGCGACTTACTGTACAAGCCAATGTAAAGGGCCATTTTGTGGGCGGCTTGTCTTTTCACGAATGTTTTCGCGTCGTTTCGCAACCGGTTCATTTGGTGCTGCCTCAGCTTCGCCTGAAAACCCGCGTAATGATACTTGTTGCTCCGCAGCCCCGCTGTAAGCTTTTCCAGCCCGTCCTGTAACGGGTTGGCTGATTTCACGGGCACTGCGAAGGGGGGACGGCAGGAAAGGCGCGGGTGGGGAGTAGGTTGTGAGTGGGTGAAACGGTCAAAAACGGTCAAGCGTTCAGCGGAAACGGTTGTCATAAACCCGGATCGAGGCATACATCACTAGATACAAGCTGTGACACGATGTCCGTTTGAGCGCGAATAGTTTGTTGCTCCCATGTCATTAATGAGCTCCTCTTCTAAGATTCCTGAAAATTAGGAAGTGAACGCTTGCACAGAGGTCATAGAGCTCTCTCCGCGCAATAATGCTGGTACGACGCAATGTAGAGTGCTTCGTTAGCAATTACAGGCCAACTTACGCGTCGCGAGAAGGCATAGTGCGACGGCGACGGATACGAGCACGAAGCGGCTCATGCTGGCGCGGCGCGACACTGATTTGAGGCACTAAATGTCGAGCCTCCTCGCGATGAGGCGGAAAATGTTTCTGATAACACCGAAAATATTTCAACGATAAGTGGTTGCGCGCAAGGGGAATGTTCTGATAACGCTTCAAATATTTGTGAATGGCGGCGCGCACGGGACGAATCGCCAAACGCGCGAATGAAAGGGCGACCGTTAAAGAGTGGCGTGACTGACGGTACCCTATGCGGTGCGGCAGTTCGGAAAAATGCGAAGATAGAAGCGAAATGAATAGCTAAGAGAGGATTGCGCTGGCATGTCACCCGCGTAAAGCTGATGTTTGTGCTGTTACTCTCATCTCAGCCCAAATAACTCATGGCTCACCACCACACACACTCACACACATGGCAGGAGAAATTGCATGGGGACGATTGTGCACTAGGGGTTCGAACTTCCGTCTAAGTTCGAACTTTTGGCAAAGTTCTACTCGGTACGATACTTTTAGGAGACGTGTCGCCACGGTGCAAAGCGGTTACTGTTCGAACTTGGACAAATTTCGCCTAAAGACACACGCCCTTATGTGGCCTCCTGCCCGTCGCAGGGGCAGTGGGGCGTGGCACACCCACGAAATGGCGGCTCGATTTTGGCAACAGCACGGCCTTATGAGTTGAATATGGGTGGGGATGGGTGGTGGGGAATGCCTCCAGCAAAATTATTTGGCCGGTCTGAGAAATTCTTCAACAAACAACCCTGCCTCGCGCTACGCACTGAATAGTACGTAGTTCAGTGTTCGTCGGGTTGAGTACATGTACAAGCAAATATTTGGTTTTCCTGAACCCTACCCAGACATTCCCAACCACTCTTTGACCGTTCTAGAACGTATCTCAGCTCGTCGAATCGCAATGAAGCGAAACGTTGACAAAAGCGCGTTCTTGGGCGCGTTGAGCTCAGATAAAATGTCAAACACTTGGCCCAATGCATTGCCTGCCAAGAGAGGCCTTGAACTGATCGAAGAGGACAACCAGACCAGACGATCATTTATCAGTTCACGCCTCTCAGAACCCATCTCTACCTCACCACCTTCCCATCAACCCATTAACATACCCCACACCAACCCCCTCTTACCCACACACCACCTCCGTCGACTCGGCTGAGGCATGAAGGCTCGATTAGTCAAGAAGGCGGCGGAGAGCTGGCTAGGGCAGCGGGCAGCTGGCTAGGGCAGCGGGCAGCTTGCCCAAGTTCGGCGGCTGCCAAGACAGCACCCAACGGAACACCCTCAACAACCAACAACACTTCCCAGCACTCGGGGCTGTTCATGCACCTTCCTGCAACGTATGGTTGGCTTGAAAAACCCAGCACAAAATGCCAAATCCATAATGCGACTCGAAGATCAGCTTGTCCTGGAACAATTTTCAGATACAAGTACACTGCTGGCTCGAAGCACCAATACATGCTTCCTGTAAGGAAATTCCCTTTTCCTTACTTCGCGTCCCTGCTCAACGCGTACGTCACTGTAGCACCTCAGTCAGCACCGTTACCACTCACGACAATCTCATCATTCATTATCCCGCCCTTTTCGCACACCGCATCCCGACCTCACGGCTCGGCTGGTAACCCGCGCTCCGGGCCTACGCTTCGGCACTTTCCCAACCTCAGTCCCAGGCTCGTCGCGCGACAACCACAGTCCATTACCGTTACCACTATTGTTTCGCTATATAATCCTTCGCTCATGCCTTCGCTCATTGTACTTTTGCTTCGATAGTGCAATTCTCGTTCGTTCACTCAATTGCACTCGTAACACTTGGTAATCAGAGCCTACGATCTCATCTCGGACCGCATCCACACCTTCGCTTCCCACTATCTCAATTTTTGGGGGGGGTAGACGTCTCTCAGCGACACAGCACCGCCGCTCGTAGTGCTCTCTCGCAAGCACGCACGGCCACGACCGAGGCTCTCGCTGAGCTTGCCCGACACCCCCGCCATGGCCGACCTCAATCTCGCCACGTTGACGCAGGAGCAACTCGATCGTCTCGTGCGACAATTGGAGGATTCGGCGCTTGAAATCGCGACGCTCACGGCGGAACGTGACTCCGCCCGTCAACAGTCAACGGTGAATGCTCCGACAACATCCCACGCACCAACCAATGTTTCTGTATATTCGGAGGAGCCGATTGTCATCTCATCCGGCACACCAACGCAACACAACAGCACGGGACAGCGCTCAGGCGCAGCCAGTGACGGCGCAGCCCAACCGATGCCCGGCATGGGAGGGAACAGGAGCACGCTAAGCCCACGGGAGCCCCGAGAAGCCCGTCGGCACGTGGAGTTTGCGGCGACAAGTGGCGAAAACGCCATGATGGCCCCAATGCCACTCAAGCCGCAACGCCCGCCCTGTTTCGACCCAAGCCAACGCGGCGGCCCGACAGTTCAATCGTGGGTCTTCACGATGAATGTGTTTTTCGACGCCAACTACGTCGAGTCGGACGCCGCCAAGATTCGGTATGCGGTTTCACTACTCAGGGGCCCCGCCATGGACTGGTGGCGAGTCATCGTGACGTCGCCACGCGCCTACGAGCCACCGTCGCACGAGGAAGGGCCCTCGGGTCCAGCTGTCACCTGGAGTTCGTTCTGCGAAACAGCCCAATACAGCACGTGGGATGCGTGGTGCGCAGGGCTTCGGGCGCGTTTTGAGCCGATCGCGGCTTCGATTTCGGCGCGTCAGAAACTGCGCACTTGGCGCCAGCTCGGGTCGGTTCAAGACTACACCAGCGGTTTTCTCGCACTTTGCGAACAGGTCGGCTACATGCACGAGGCGGAGCGGGTGGACCGTTACGTCGGAGGGCTGAAGCCGGACATATCGCACGAGATAATGCTACGCGGGCTATCGAATTTCAACGAAATCCTCGCGCTCGCCGAGAAAATCGATATCCTACGCCGACCGAGACCGGGGTCCTATTTCGGACATCGCCCTCGGGGACCGATCGAGCACGCCACTGTACATGCCGTCGCAACGAATGCAGCTGCCACGCCATTTAGAGGGCGCTGCTTTGCTTGCAACCGGCCGGGCCATCGCAAGAGCGAATGTCCAGAGGAGCTGAGGCGTCGAGGAGCAGAGCAGGGGAAGGAGTCTCAGAGGCAGGGAAACGCCAGCAGTCAGTAGAAGTTGGGCCAACTACTGACGAGACTGCCTGCTCGCCCAACCACACCGACCCTCACCGAGTCACAGTACCGATTCACGCCATCGATCGGGCTCGGATGAATAAGGAGGGTACAGCGACGGATTGCCCGGTACTGATCTACGGGAAAATACAGGGAGCAGCAGTGAAAATCTTCATTGACGGAGGAGCAAGTCACAGCTTAGTTAATACTGCAACCGCACGGAGATTACAGTTAATACTTAACCGATGTTTACCTGAGATAGATGCACGCTTAGTCGACGGCACGCCATTGGCCATACGAGAAAAAGTGGAGCGAGTAAAAGTCCGCTGCGGGGGAAACTTCGGGTTTACACAGGAAATGCTCGCAACGACGCTGGATGGGCACGACATTTTACTGGGACGTGATTGGCTGCGACGGTACAACCCACGGATCGACTGGACGACGGGGAGCTGCACAGTGCGAAGTAGCGGTAACTGGGTCGTCCTACCTCGCTGGCGGCCACCCGAATCTTCGACAGTCCAGGTCAACGCCATCACGATGAAACGGGCTGTCGCTGCTGGAGCTGACGTGTACGCAGTGGATATCGCAGTGGTAGAAAAAGACGAGCAGCAGAATGATTTAAAGAAACTACTCGCAGCCGTACCGACCGAATTACAGGCACTACTGAAACGGTTCCCGGGGATATTTCCGGATGATTTACCACAGGGACTGCCACCTCAACGAGCGCACGACCATAGGATCGAGTTAGAACCGGGGGCACAACCAACAGTACAGCGGCAATTTCGACTGACACAGCCCGAGCTCGACGAGTTAAGGAAGCAGTTAGATTACCTGTTAGAGAAGCAGTTTATTCGACCAAGCTCGTCACCGTTCGCCGCACCCATACTGTTCACACCGAAAAAAGACGGAGGTTTTCGCATGTGCATCGACTACCGAGCGCTCAACCGGGTAACAGTCAAATCGCGATACCCCATCCCCCGCGCCGACGAACTGATTGACCAACTGCGAACAGCACGTGTCTTTTCGAAAATAGATTTACGGGGAGGTTACCATCAGATTCGGGTCGAACCATCGGACTGCGCAAAAACAGCATTTAGGACTAGGTACGGGTCATTCGAGTATACAGTAATGCCCTTCGGGTTGACGAACGCGCCTGCGACTTTTCAGATGACCATGAACGAGGCGTTTAGACCACTTTTAGATAAATGCGTGATCGTTTACCTCGACAATATCCTCGTTTACAGTCGGGATAAGCAGCAACACTTAGCAGATCTTGAAGCAGTTTTTAAGGTTTTAGAGGAACATCGGCTGCTCACCAAGGGCTCCAAGTGCGAGTTTTTTAGGGATAGGCTAGAGTTTTTAGGTCACGTCATTTCCGAGGCTGGGGTTGAGATTGACCCAAAGAAGCTGGATACGGTAAAAGCGTGGCGCCACCCGACGAACATCACGGAACTGCAGAGTTTTTTAGGGTTTGTTAATTACGTTGGACGGTTCGTGCCCGACATGGCACGTTTAACAGCCCCACTAACTGATTTACTGCGTAAGGGGGTCGCTTTTACGTGGGGGGAGAAAGAGCA